ACAATGCTACTTAACATAAACATTAAATTAATTTCAAATGAAAAGAAAACAATACCTTGCATAAACTTGAAGGATTGAAGTTCATTGCATGAAGAAAAATTGTTTTAACTGAATATAGGAATAAATTTGTCTACTGAAATGAGGAAAAACAACCTAATTCTAATGGAATCTGTGCTGAAATACGAAATCTGTGCTGAAAAACCGAAATCTGGAAGCATGTGCAGAGAAAATCAAAGTATGAAAAGTTGCAATTGTTTGAGTAGGGCTGGTCGTCCTTCTTCTGTGCTGAAGTTCCCTTTTTGTTCCTCTTTGTGCCGGCAGTTACTCAATCCTAGGTAGTTTGTTGGAGCAGTGGGACACCTCACCCTTTGACCTAGTCTAAACCCCTTTCAGATTTTGCCACCTGGATTTTATCAGATAAAATCTCCTTTTTAAATGTGATCCTCCCCTATCTTGCCAACTCACGTGCTGATCTGTCATGGGGCCCAGATCCGAATCTGACATGGCTCAAAACTCCTCCAGCCAATAAAAATTTTACACGTGGCATTAATCTAAAATTTTATAATTTATGGTGTAAACAATGCCCCCAACACTTGATTTTAGTAAAATAAATCCAAGTGTTTTAATTAAATAAATTGTCTCCCACACCATAATTACTTATGCCACATGTCGAATTCTCTTTAAAAACAACTTCACAAATATCTCATGGAGCAATTTTCTAGATAAACCCCAGCCATTCCTTTTTCAAAATTTATCTAATTCTCAAAACCCAAAAATAAAGAAAAGTCAAACTTACTTTTCTTTTCCTTTTGAATCATGGCCGGCTGCACTCTTTTCCATCCTTTTCAACTCAACAAATCCCAAAAAGTAAGGTAAATTTAAAAAATTAAATTTACTTACTTGGGACACCTCAAATTGCCGGCTGTACTCTTCCTCTTTTCTTTGTTTTTTATTATTCCACCGTCAATGGCCCCATTGAAAAGTCTACTCCACTTTAAGTAAAATCTATTAATTTTCAAAACAAATCCCAAAAAGTAAGGATTAGCTGAGAATTGAAAATTAAAAATTTATTTTGTCTTCTCCATCTTCCACGGGCCAAACCGACTTTCCTTTTCCATTTTACTTTGCTTTGCTTTGCCGCCGGCTGCACTCTTCCTTTGCTTGTTTATTCACCAAATAGCTTCCAAATTTCTACCCATCTTGCAACATCTAAGCTTCTCCCAGTCACAGTCGGTTTCTTTCCTTCTTTTTTTTTTTTTATTTTGTTTCTCCAAATTCACCCAAAAATCAGTAACCCATTTCCTTCAACTTTTAAGATCTACTGCCGACTGCACTCTCTTCTTCTGCTTGTCCAGATCTACTCCATTCAGTGGTCCCCCCGGCAATTCTTCTTACCCCACAGGTACTTGCCGGCTGTTCCTTTCACTTTATTTGCAAATACTTGCTTTGCTTAAACCCCCCGTGGACCTTACCGGGATTTTCCTTGTCCATGTGATTGCCGGCTGAATCTCCTTTTTTTTTTTTGTGTGCAGATCAGCTTGGCTTGTGGCCGGTACTCACTACCAGGCAGCCTTCCCTTGCTCAAGTTGCTTCCATGGCCAGTGACCGAGAAGAGCCATCCATGCCCACCGGATCTGCTTCCATGGCCGGTTCAAAGGCCATTCCTTGCTTGAGGTCACCTCCCCCAAATTTAATTGAAATCTTTCAAAACCGTAACCTTCAAGATGATATAAACAGGGTACTCCAAAAACAGAAACCATGCCATGCAAGCCAAACTTTTGTTCCCCATAAAAAATCTCAGATTTTGGGCTCTTATTTTGTGTCTCATCCGCTGTTTTGGCCCCTCCACAACTCACCAAAAAATCTGAGGGGAAGAATGTTGTAAAAGAGAATGAGGACCTGGAATCTGCCATGGCCGCCCAGATCAGCCAGCCAGATCTGCCAGGGAGAGCTCCCAAACTTCAAGTCAAAAGGAAATTTGTTGCTCCTGCAGATTCCACAGAAGAGGATACCCCCTCCAAGCAGCGAAGAACCGGAGGTAAATCCGCTTTGGCTTGCAACTTTGTGACATGTTTTCTGCTAACATCCA